AAACTCATGACTGGTGCATAGGGAGATTACTGATGCCATAAACAGGAGTGTCAATTTGTAAAGTCAACAACAGGAGTCACTGTGCACTTACTCCTCATGTAGGATCTCTGTCCTTAATGTGCTGTACATTGAGACTTAATGCTATAATGAGTACTCAAACAGTATATTTCACTTTGTGTTTCTATGTGGGTGCAAACTGTTGAAATCTTTACTTAATGTATACTAAACTGATCTTCTGTAAAAAAAAAAAAGAAGAAGAAATTATCAATTCCCAACTTGACTCTCATTGGGATTAAACATGACAATAGGTCTGATCTGATTTCATCATCATTTAAAAAATCATCTATTATTTTTCACTTTATGTTTGTGTGGGAGCAAACTGTTGAAATCTTTACTTAATGTATGCTAAACTGATCTTCTGTATATAAAGAGAATCGAAAATGAATCCTCATGTGAATGGAAGGGGAGAGGGAGTGGGAAAGGGGAGGGATGAGGGTGGGAGAGACGATATGGGGGGGGAAGCCATTGTAATCCATAAGCCGTACTTTGGAAATTTATATTCATTAAATAAAAGTTGAAAAAAAAAGAAAAAGAAGAGGAAAAAAAAAGTAATCACTTTCTGGAAAAGTGAATGGTATACCATAAAAAGTTACATGATACATTTGTGAATTCAGATAAAATAGATTTGATATTAGTACCACCACCATCAATGTGATGGCCATTGTTACAGAGGTTAAGTACTCACTCAACTACACATGACATTTTTAGGTCCTATAGAAAAAACAAAACAAAACAAAACAACAACAACAAAAAACCTTGTATTCTGAAATCCAAGGTGTGATGTCATGGATTTTAGTTCACTTGGAACTTGTTGGTTTGGAATCAAACACAATTCACTTTAACAAGTGCTTTCTGAGCCTATGCAGGACTGCACTGGGGTTATGGGAAGTCTGCAAAGATAGATCACACACTGCCACCCCCTAAGCAGTACATATTCATTAACTGATTGCTTGCCATGGGCCAGGCAGTATGCTCAGCCCTGTGACAAGCCTTCATCAAATCAAATGTTTTGTCTTATAATCCAGTTGGGGAAGAAGATAGATATTCCAGTGACTTGATGTCAGCTAACCTCTATTAAATGAAAACATGGGGATTGGCACTAAGAGACAAGGAAAATTATTGCACCTGGGGAGATCTGGAGAAATCCCTTATATTGGGTGAGGTCTAAGCTGAGTTTTGACAGATGGTCAGGAAAACGGGAAGTTTTTTTTTTTTTTAATAGAACCATCCAGATACAATTTGAAACTATTAGGCAAACTGATTTTCTGCTGTGTGGTACCATGAAGGCAAAAATCATTGCTTGACCAAGTTTTCAGCCTACTGATATCAAATAGAGGTAACACCACTGTGAAGTTCTTTTATCCATTTTCTCTTTCTAAATTAATGATCAAATGCACTCTGGCATATTGGATGAAATGCTTCCACAGAATTCATATAGGGGTATGGGAAAAGCCTGGATTTTTCAGTATTAAATGAGTTTGGAAAATATTCTCTGATCTGGGGTTGGCTGTCTGGGGTTAGTGAGTGTGGAGAAGGGATTTGAGTCTCTCTTCCTGTTCGGCTTAATCTCTGTGATTGACTCTTACTATCATTTTGGCTTCAAAGGACTTATGTAGTTACATTGAATCCAAGCAGACAAACAAGGATGATCTTAGTTTAAGTTCAGCTGACTCATTACCTTAATTTCAATCTGAAAAACCTCTCTACAACATTCCTAGATTAGCATTTCATTGAATAACCAAAAGGAAGGATTTTGGGGGAATGGCATCTTTAGAATTCTGCCTATCACCCCAGGGTACTACCACTTTGTATTTGACCTAAGGTGAAGAGTTCTACTTCTGTTTGACTTTGTCACAGGTTAACCTGGTATTTACTGTGGACAGCAATTACAAAGTAGTGATTTCAAGCAAGACATCAGATGGCTCAGAGTTTTCCTCCTTCAACTTGTGAGGCAAGCCTTCTTGAGTAAAAAATTAGTTTGAAATGTTATATTCTCTAATACTTCCACAGAGATTGAATCAAAAGTACATTTCAAAGAACATAACTTACTGTGTCACCATTATCCTTCCCTTCTTATTCCTATATCATCCCCAGTTGAATCTTATTGTCAGTTACCATTCATTTCCTCCTTAGCTTTTGTGATCTTGAGAATCTCCTGCATTGGTTTTTCTTTGACACATTGGAGTTTCCCAGGTCCTCTTTGTTCTTGATCTCCTGTTCTCTGAGTGACACATTCTCCCGAGGAACTCTCCTGGACTCCACTGGGATGTTTTCCTCTGCCCATGTCCTCTTCTTCCTTGTACTATACCAACTCAGATCAACAACTTGTGGTTTGGGGAGTAAAGTGTGCACTATATACTAGCTTAAGTTGTACCTAATCAAAGGCTAAATGGGAAGACAGAATTCAAGGAACTTAGGAATGGACAAAAGACTTCACTGAGGATATTTAGGACAGAATAAGTGAGGAAGGGAGAGGAGTAAGATAGATATGAGTCATTCCATCTATTTCCTCATACTGGCTTTAATACTGTGTTCTGTTTTTCTCCATGAACCATGTTTATTTGACAGTAACATAGCCTGGCTTTGGATTCAGATGATGTCTAGGCTTTGACACAGAAAGTTAGTGGTGTTTTGCTTCCTTTTATTGTTGATTTTATACTTGTATTCTGAAAATTATCCAGTATCTGTAAGCAATTACTATGTATATTGATATTGGAGGGATTTTATCAATCCATCTATTTTTCTACAAATGTGCAATAATTTTTATTTGATAACATTTATATTTTAAAGCATTTTATGGTTTCTTTCTAAGGCTTAGTCAATTCTCACATCAATTTTATGTCAATTCAGTTCATAAAAGGAGATATTTAATAGGTTCTGTGCAACGAGGTTCATTTTTTTGGCTAATTTACGTAGTTAGAAAGGCAACTCTCGACATTAATGTGCATTTAGGATATATTTCTATTTATCCATTAGTTAATTTAACAAATAATTATTGGATAATCCTTTAGGAAGTCACTGTTCCAGGGTCTGTGGCTCTATTGCTTAATAAAAAAGAGCAGTGCCTCTTCTCATGGAGTATGTAAGCTGGCAAGGAAGACAGTCATTAGACAACTAATGACATGGTAATTATTTAATCTGTTTGTAATGCCTGCTATGAAGGAGAAATACAGTGAACTCTGAGAAACTGTAATTGAAGCATCCTAGGAATGAGTTATCTTGGCAAGTTGAAGCAAAGGGAAGAGGACTTTGGGTGGAGGTGTAAAGGCTCTTGAGATGGGAAGTACCAGGTTGATTAAAAAATTGGAATAAATTGCAACAGATTTGGAGCAAGTCATCATGGAAGGGAAGTGGGCAACATGATCATAAAAGTGGGCAGCAATGCATAAGTGCAACTCAAACATTCACCTGTTATTATTATTATTATTATTATTATTTTTTTTTGACAGGCAGAGTGGACAGTGAGAGAGAGAGACAGAGAGAGAAAGGTCTTCCTTTGCCGTTGGTTCACCCTCCAATGGCCGCCGCTGCAGCCGGCGCACCGCGCTGATCCTGGCAGGAGCCAGGAGCCAGGTGCTTTTCCTGGTCTCCCATGGGGTGCAGGGCCCAAGCACCTGGGCCATCCTCCACTGCACTCCCTGGCCATAGCAGAGAGCTGGCCTGGAAGAGGGGCAACCGGGACAGAATCCGGCGCCCCAACCGGGACTAGAACCCGGTGTGCCGGCGCCGCAAGGTGGAGGATTAGCCTATTGAGCCACGGCGCCGGCTATCACCTGTTATTATTTTAATTTTATGTTTTTTTTTTTTTTTAATTAGGTCTTCCTTTCACCTTCTCCAAACAAGTTTTAAGATAGACACAATTTATGACATACAATACAAATAGTTGGCACTATGAAATGAGTGTGGAAACAATGAGAATGATTTAGATAAGCATTTTTAAAAAGGAGTCATTTCCTTACCTTTTTTCAGGTGCTAAGATAGCTTTTTTATTTAAATAGACTAGGCAAATTCATTGTGTAGGGATACAATGCAGAGAGATTTGAAACAATAATATCATAAACCTATAATGCATCAGGAAAGGCTGTCAGAAAGATTGATGTAAGCCCCATGAAAGCATGAGCAATGCACAG